TTTATTTGCCGACAAGTTCCCCTATTTAATACAAATAATTAAATAGGGTTTATTTTAAGCTGGGTTCGGAAAAGCTCCCTATAAGGGCAAGCCCCTATAGTTAATTACATCTTAAATGACTGAAGTCACCTAAGAAAATTCTCGATAAAAATCAAGGAATACTATCTTCAAAGAAGTCAAAAGGATAGGACTTTTCAACGAAATCGGACGAAGAGGTGTGAAAGGGGAAATACTCGAACCTGGAACAATGTTGAGGAATCCAAATGAAGAGAAACTAGGGGAGGCCACAGATCCAGAGGAGAACCTCAGTGACTTCCCAGTCTATCCTATGATTTGACTCCAATTTTGAGAAGAAATTATTACAATCTTTCATCCTGCCAATTTTATTTAATTAGGGATTATATTTGCGTGACATGATCACACAAATTGCCTAGAAGATATGAGGGTTTACGTCGTATCGGACGACAACCTCGAAACCTAGAACGAGTTAGGGCTTAAATCGTACAGCAGAGCTATACGAATGCTTAAAGAAAAGGTGGAGGATTTATGTTGCGGTAGGCAAACAACCTCGAAATCTTATAGATTGTTGTTTAATTTCTAGGAAAAGGAATAGTTTTGCTGGGGAAGACATGTTCTGCTGTTGAAGATGGCCGTGCTGCCCACTGCGCTAGCTCCAAGCTCACCGACGTGACGAGTTTAAGTTTTCTAGGGTGTCCAGTTATATTGAAAAATCAAACGACCCTATGGTTGTAGTCCTCTAAACATCCTATGCAAAAAGGAAAAAATGCTTGAAGTTATATAATATAAAGTGTGCAATACAGAAGCAATATAACATGCTATACATGAAGAACAATAGCAGGTAGAAATAGGAAAATTATGACATGCTATACAAAAAGAACAGCAGCAGGTAGAAACAGGAAATTATGTGCTGTAAAATGTAAAATAAACCTGTACGCTCGTGAGATCCAATGTTTCTTAAGCATAGCAAGCCTAAATGCGTCTCAAAAAACAAAGTCCGGAAGAAAACGTCATCCAGGAAATCCGAGGAAAAGCGGAAAACTCGAGAAAATCAGCGAAAAAGACTCAAGTAAAAGAAAATCCTCAAAGCTCCTGGGAAAATCCCGAAAGAAAGGAAAAGTAACACGAATGCCCTGCCCCAAAACTTCGATAAAACAAAAAGAAGGTTTGGATGAGGGAGACCGCAAACACTCGTATGGGACTAGGCTCAGCTGTATATTTATTCTCGAGGGTCCACGAAGGCTACTCGGTCTCCCAAATATATAGAACCCGCCACTCGTCTAGAAGGGTGTCTTGAACCTCACTTAGAGAGCTATTTCCTAGCCTAAACATATATTCGTCAGGTGGACAACCAACTTTAAAATGTATTTTAAAATTTATGTTTTTGACATACACACAAATTTTAAACATGCAAAGAAGAGTTATCAATTTTTTTCGTAGAAAAGTATGTTTTCGCTTGAAAATTGTTTATCAAAACTTATCCTTTTTTTCTTAGAAATTTTTGTTATTTTGTTATCCCCGAGTCGATTACGCTACCAGGCATAGGACTGCCAACAACCTGAGGAGGTTCGAATCAACTCCCGCTAGACTTATGTCGATGAATGATACCATATCCTATTGTTCATCAAATGCCTGAATCTTGATGTTATAGGATAGGGCATCTTTCTGCTCTATCTTCGGTGTGTCTTTATCATCAACACCGTACGCCCCAAAACGACTACTTGTGACCTTGTTTGATGGTTTCACGTATAACAAAAGACTATACGTGGATACTTATGCATCGGGCATAAGCATCGAAAACCGAATCAAGAAGCAAGGAAAAAAAAAGAACAAAAATGGGGTGAGAGAGAGGAGACACAGATCCATCTAAAACACCGAAAAGGAGATTGGATCAGTTTTCAAAACTCGTATCGAAAAGACCTGGAAAAGTTGGGCCCAAGGTCTTTCCTAACAAACATAAAGGGCAAGCTCGCGCTAATTTTCCCAAACCCCAAAGACATAGGATTGATCAAGTCCACCAAGTGCTTTTCCAAAATGAAGTTTAAAATCTCCTCTCCCAAACTTCAAAAGAAAGTAACCTCGGGAAAACCACCATTAATATTTCCAAACTTATGTCGAAATCAAAATTCTCCGACTTTCAAATTAGTAGATAACCTCATGCATTAAATAAGCACAAAATTTGCCCATAAAACCACATAAATGCTCACGGCCAGGGTCAGCAGAGAAGAGGAAACAACCAACAAGGCTCTCGGCCAAAGCTAGGAACAGGGACAAAAGGGGTTCACGGCTAGGGCGAGGAACAACTACCAAGACCCATAACCAAAGGCAACCTAAAAGACAACTAGTAAGGCTTACCGTTAAGGCAACAAAGGGCCCCGAAAAGAACTATTAAAGCTCACGATTTAAGGCAGCAAAGAGCAGCTGCAAAAGCCCACGACTAGAGGCCATCCAAAGAACAAGTAAGGCCCACGACTACAACCACCCAGAGCACAAAGGGGCTCAGCTCACGGCTAAAGCAAACAAAAGAAGGACCACCAAAGGCGACTATGCTTCCTTGACAAACACGAAAGGATAACTAAAGTAATTATAATTTTTGGGATGATAAACTTGATTCATCCACAACATTCAAGCCAATCAAGCTTAGCAAGAAGGACCAAATCACACCCAATGACCTACAATAGGCCTCATGGGTAAGGACCAAAAGGGGAGATTGATTCAACCACATCACAAACCCACGGCTAGGCACCAAGCAAACATCACATTGCGGCCTCATAAACTGCCAAATCAATCCATCAAAACCAAATATCAGCCTTCGAATGGAGACAACACAGCACATTCAAAACAGGTTCTTGGGTAAGAGCCGAAACCAACAAGAATAAAAAAGAACCAAGCCATCTCTCGGGTAGGGATTAAAATCAGCAAAGCCACCTCTCGGGTAGGGACTAAAGACAAGCAAAGCAAATCATCAAGTCTCTCGAGTAAGGACGAGTTTTAAAGACTCAATCATGGGCTCAGGAGTAGGAGCTAAAACAAGCAAACCAAGCTCCCAAGTCAAGCCAAAACCCGGCCACAGCTAAGGCTCAAATCCAAGTTACAACAAGATAGTCAAAAGAAAATATTCCCATACCCCTGAGACATCAAAATATAGAAACGACACATGGCTCACACAAGAACAACTACAAAATTATTGCGAATCAACATAAATTCATCCATCACACGTATATTTGAGCTAAAACATCGGTGGGATACCAAAACCGAGCCCAACAGGGGCCAAAACCGAGCCTAGCAGGGGCCTCCATAAGGATAGAGCTCTATTCATTTTAATTCCAAAACCAAGACTCCAAACCCAGCCAAAATCGAGCTCAACAAGAACCAGAAGCCAAAACCGAGCTCAGCAAGAACCAGAAGCCAAAAACGAGCTCGGCAAGAACCACAAGCCATAGTCAGAGCTCAACAAGATTAAAACATTAAAACAGGTTGATATATAAATTCATACTTTAATAGAAATTAAAGTTCCAGCCACCTGTAGGTAAAACCGAGCCATTCAAAGCTAAGAAACAACCTGCATCAAGTAAAACCGAGCCATTCAAAGCTAAGAAACAACCTGCATGTCTAAATATCCCAAGCATGAAAATATTTCAACAAATATTTGAACAGGAGAGGAACTTCACGAGGAGCTAAACCAAACCCTCAAAACAAGCTACAACACTTTCCACATTAGACAAGCTACAACACTTTCCACATTAGATAAATTTTCTCATAGCATACATTTCAAGCCAGGGAAAGCCACAGGAGCTAAACCGAGCCCCCAAACATGCATAAAACAGTAAAATGAACCCCCTAGCATTCATAAAAGGCCAAATAA